TTTTTTCCTTTGTCTCTTCCCCAGAAATCTTTTTCTTTAGTACTTTGGTACTCTGAGTGGAATATTTTACACCTACTTTACAGATTTTTATAAATATGAGAAATAATGTATATAAGAAGTTAGCTTGTGGCTGACATGTAATAGGCATTCAATAAATGGTTATTATTAGTATTTATAAAAGATACCTCCAGAATGAGAGAAATTTAAGAATTGTGTAATTTCATCTTTTCAACAAAATTAGTTTATACAATGAAGGTGTATAGAAGCTTTACTACAAGTATATTCAAAACAACTGAGTTTCTAATTGAGAAAGCTGGATACAACCTAAATGTTCATCGTATGAAACAATGAAATATTATAATAGTAAAGGACATTTAATTGTATCCTTTTAATAATAAAGTATACTTATTTAATAATAAAGTATTAATAAAGGATAATAAAGAATAAATAATAATAAAGGATATTTGTTTCATAATATCCTTTAATAATAAAGGATAATAAAGGATGTTAATAATAATATAGGATATTAATAATAATAAAGGATATTTATTGATATGAAAAGATGTCCACAGTATAGAAGAGGAAAACAGATTTTAAATAATTACATCTACCATTATATCATTTTGGGGAAAAGGAAAAGCAAGGCAGAAAATAATCAGCATCTAGAGATAATGAAAGTATAGATCACTTTTTCCTTCCTCTATTCTGAACTATAAGTTTAATATAGTGACAATACCTTACTTTTAAAATAAGAAAGTAAGATTTTTTAAAATGTGTGCAAGTTTCTTGGAAGAAAGCCCAATTGGAATGCTCAATTAAAAAATGTTAATGTATGGGCTTGTATCCATTTTCAAAACCTTGCTTGGTCAAAAATTTATTCTAACACAGTGTTCAGGAAAGAGTTTGATAGTAAAAGAAAAAAAAATACTGTAAACCAGGGCAAAGTAGTGTTTACAACCAGTTATCATGGGGTCCTTGATCTTTCCCACAGTTGTTCCTACCCAACAATATCAACCAGTATATCAACCAAAATATCTCAAATACCTATTACTCGTTATTTTTCTTTTAACCTCATAAAGGTAGGAGGGAGGATCCAGTCCTCAAGTTAATGAATGGGAATCTTGGAGGAAATGAATTTTCCTACAGTCTGGAGGAGTAACTGAGGATTTCTTTTCCCCTTGACTTGTAGTAACTGTAGATGATTACGGGTTCGTTTACAGCCTGGTGGAGTTCAAACCTCACCTTTCCAAGGGATGTGAGTTTATACATCATTTAAAGCTGTAACCAGGTGGGGAGGAGTTTCAGGGTGAAACTGTGCTGATTCCCCAGTGTGTATGCTCAGATGATTTCTAGCTGAGCCTTTGAAAAGTGAAAGACCAAGCCCAGAAAATCCACTTCTTCTTCCTCTTGATTGGCAGTCAAATCCCCTGTACTCATCTGGTATTAATAATTCATTCATAAATGAACTTCTTGAGGGTCTTTGACTCTCCAGGCCTAGCCAGTCAGGCACAAAGTGAGGGGAAAATTAAGTAGTTTCAGAGGTTTTTATCAAGAAGGGAAAAGGTGCCTATTTTCCCATTTTTTTGTGGTGGAAATTGAACACTTGAATAAAATAGGAGAGTGACAGAAAACTCATCTGTGTTTATTGAGCACTGCCTCAATCCTGGGAGACCAGTCTGATTATTTCAAGACACAAAGGTTCAGAGAGGTAAAGATCACACAAGTAAGAAGTCACAAGAGAGTTGAAGCTGGAAATTCATCTTACAAGGGATATAAATGCACAAAGAAGTTATACATCCAACAGGTAAGCTAAGAAGTACTTGATATCCTATCTCTGGAAGATAACTGTGCTAGACACTGAAAATATAAACAAAAAAGAAACAGCCCTGCCTTCAGGGAGTTTATAGTCTAGGATGTTGAGGACATGGAGCTTTGCCTGGAGTAAGGGCGTCTTGGAGCAGTGTTTCAGAAAGTACCAGGTGCGGTCAGGTAAGTTTTTGTGGCCCATCTGTTCCTCGTGTGGAATTTCCTTCACTTTGGACAGCTAGGCCTGAGCCTGGCAATGAGCCTTGAGACTGTCTCTTGCTATAAATAGGCACAGCTGGAATTAGGAGGGCTCCCTCTGTAGGAATATCAGAGTTCATTCTCAGAACTCCACCAGGCTTTTCTAGTTGGGAGTTTGTCTTGGGGAAGTGCTCCAAATACAACAGCTTCTTTAATAAGGATTTTATTATTATTATTATTCAGAGGCAAAGGGTCAAAGAGTGAGTTGATGTATAACATGGGCTTTGGAGTGAGATGACCTATATTTGAAGCCCAAGTCCTCCATTGTGTGTCACCTCGGGAAAAATGTTTTTTCAGTGACTTCATTGGTATGGTAAAGTGGAATTAAAAACACCTAACTTCCCAGGGACTTTGTAAGGAGTAAATGAGATATGTGTCTAAAGTACTTCAGCACAGCACAGAAGTGTAAGAAGCCGCCTGAAAAGGCTGCCGTGATACAACAGCACCTGCCAGGACTTACCCACAAGCGGCGTGGGGCCTTGCCTGAAACCTCACTGAGCATGTCTGTGCCCCTCAAAGAGATACCTGAGAAGCCTCCAGGGTTAACTTAGGTCACTTGTAGGACGTTTACTCACACTGTGACACAGGATCAGAAAGCTACAACGTCACGTGTAACCAAAGGACTCAGGTAGGGACCTGCCTGGCCACTCTTAAGACTCCACTGCAGGAGGCACGGGTTTGACCCCTGGTTGGGAAGATCCCACATGGCACGGCCAAAACCAAACCAAAGTGCTCATGTATATTCCTCGTCTTTCACCTTAGGTTTTGGAGCACTTGACCTGGGTGCTCACATGTGTCTGTCTTTGCTCTGGGCTCCCAGCCGTCACTGCTGCTTGCCTGGCCTCCTATTTATTCAGAACCTCTTCTCACTGCCGTCTAAATCGCTCCTTCTGATCTAAGGAATCACCCATGCCTGGCCTACCTCTTCTTCTGTGACCCCTCCTCCCTCCCTCATTATTAAAACAGCTTCTGGAAAGACCAGCCTTCCGTGCTTAAAAAGAACAGGGATCTATCCCTGAGCCTATTCAGGCCCTCTGTCCCCCACAAAAAGGAAACCAGGAACCAGGAAGCCATCTGATACAGAGAGTAGGAAGCAGCTCAGGGAGAGAAGGAGGATTTCCAGGACAGCAGTGAGAGGCCGGCAGAGGAACAAGAGTCAGTCCAGACACGGCTCCGAGCTGCTTCCTCAGAAGGTGAAGTGGATAGAATACCTGAGCCTGTGGAAAGGAGGTGTGGACAAGTGAAGAAAGTTGCACCTTAAGTACACTGGAAACTAAGCAAAGGGAAAATAAAAGAGGACAGTGACTCCCGAAAAAAGAAATCAGTAAATTGAGTGAAAAACAAATTACGCCTCACTGCATGGCTTAGCTCGGAATCATATTTGCATATTTATGAAATATAAAATTTGATATTTTTATAAAACTCCAAGGATAGGTATCTTTATGTGGTGAGGGAGGGGTAGGAACTCAATAGATGAAGCTCAAAACTGTAAAAGCAAAAACAAAACTAGTGTGTTATTTAGAAACGGGTAAGTCAAATACCACAATACACGGCTGAGAGAGCACTCGCCTTAAACAGAAGAAATCGGAAGAGGTGAGTGGAGGACTGCCCTCTTTGCGCTCGTCTTGCGGAACTATTTGACCTTTTAACTTCGTGCAAGTGTGATTGATAAAAACTCCTTGACCCCTTGAAGCTCAGTTGGTGAAAAATCTGCCTGCAGTGCAGGAGACCTGGGTTTGATTCCCGGGCTGGGAAGATCCCCTGGAGAAGTAAATGCAAACCACTCCAGTATTCTGCCTGGAGAATCACATGGACAGAGGAGCCTGGCAGACTACAGTCCATGAGGTTGCAAGAGTTGGACACGACTCAGCAACTAAACCACCAATTGATAAAAAAAATAAAACACAAAAAGCACAAATGCGTAGCAACAAAGCCTGAAAAGGAACCTGAAAGGACAACACCTAGAAGGGAGGAAAATAGGTTGCAAAGTTTATGTATTTACTTTGAAAAATGTGCATGCACAAAAAGGATTTGGAAGAATATTTATCATCTTGGAATTGAGTAACTTTTCCCTCCTTTTCTATACTATTCTAAACTATTTGGAGTGGGACATGTATTAATATTATCATTGTGATCAGACAAAAAGCTATTTCAGGAAATCCCCTGATGGACCCGTGGTTAGGACTCTGCACTTTCACTGCCAAGGGCATAGGTTCAATCCCTGATCGAGGAACTAAGATCCCACAAGCCAAGAAAAGAAAACCCAATTTCATGTTACAGAAAAGGTAAACTGTTAGAAATGTAAGAAGAAAACCATGTACAAAGATGTTCATTATAGCATTTTCATAATAGTAAGAAATCAGAACCAACATGGATGATAAATTATGCGTATACCTAGTGAGATGTTTTACAGGTATTTTAGAGGACCTCCGTGAGCTTGTACAGTAAATCGTATGATTTTCACCTTTAATTATTCTGTACCCTCAGCTTAAATGCCTTTTATCCTCCTTCCGCTTCTTTGTCACTGGTTTTTCCTTAACCATCACGTCCTGCAAGAAGCCCCTCTAACAACTGCCACCATCGCCTACCCACCCCACTCTGCTTTCACCTCCATTCCAACAGTGTGGTATGAGTTGCTCCTATTCTTGTCTTTTCAAAATGTTCTGAACAGATACTGTATCTATACTTACTGCTTAGTATTATAATGATTTTGCCACTAAACTTAACCTTGGTAGTTGGGTATGGATCTTAAAAGTGTTATCACTTCATCACATAATAAAGGTTAGGGAGAGTAGCACTAGCCCCTCCAAGGTGTTCATGTGGGTTCGATGCGAAAATCCATGTAAACAGCTGACGTTCCGTGAATGGCAAGGATGCAGATGGGGGGATCATGCTAAGAACGGTGATAAGACCTGTATGTTTTTTTGTTTTCACAGATAGCCCCAGTGCAGGCCTCGGTGTTTGTGGATGGATTTTGGTGGCTGCATCATTCTTGTTCACGGTTATAACTTTCCCACTGTCAATATGGATGTGCATAAAGGTAAAAAAGATTTCATTCACATCTGGAAAGGGGTCAACTCATAAGTACATAAGCCAATGAAAGGTGTGTGTGTGTGTAAGAGAGACCATACTGACCTATAGTTCTTTTCCCTTCATCTCTTGAAAAATTTACTCTAGCCACCTATTACAATGGAATTTTAAGACTGCTTTTCAGGGACTTCCTAGTGGTCCAGTGGTTAAGACTCCACCTTTCAACGCATGGGGGCGTGGGTTTGATCTCTGGTCAGAGAACTGAGGTCCCACATGCCTTGGGGTGCGGCCAAAAAGTAACTAATTTTCTTTATCTAGTCCTTCCCGTGGGTTAAAGTAGGGATCACCATCTAAAATTTTCTGGACTCAGGGATGCAGGACAATCCTGTGAGAAAAAGTCCTCCATAGTCAGGATTCTGAGGTGTGATTGCAGGCGCTACTGTTTACTGTGTGACCTTTGCCGAATTCCCTCACCTGTCAGATGGGAGGAAATGGCAACATCTGTCTTATAGGGCTGTTGTGAGGAATAAATGAATTACATACTTAACACAACACCTGGCCATGTGGTTATCGTCCCACCTATGCTGGTTATTTCTTCTATAAAGTTATTCAGCTCAGTTCAGTTCAGTCGCTCAGTCCTGTCCGACTCTTTGCAACCCCATGAACTGCCGCACGCCAGGCCTCCCTGTGCATCACCAACTCCTGTAGTCCACCCAAACGCATGTCCATTGAGTCGGTGATGCCATCCAACCATCTCATCCTCTGTCGTCCCCTTCTTCTCCTGCCCCCAATCCCTCCCAGCATCAGGGTCTTTTCAAATGAGTCAGCCCTTCGCATCAGGTGGCCAAAGTATTGGAGTTTCAGTTTCAACATCAGTCCTTCCAATGAACACCCGGGAGTGATCTCCTTTAGGATGGACTGGGTGGATCTCCTTGCAGTCCAAGGGACTCTCAAGAGTCTTCTCCAACACCACAGTTCAAAAGCATCAATTCTTTGGCACTCAGCTTTCTTTATAGTCCAACTCTCACATTCATACATGACCACTGGAAAAACCATAGCCTTGACTAGACAGACCTTTGTGGGCAAAGTAATGTCTCTGCTTTTTAATATGCAGTCTAGGTTGGTCATAGCTTTCCTTCCAAGGAGCAAATGTCTTTTAATGTCATGGCTGCAATCATCACCTGTAGTGATTTTAGAGCCTAGAAAAATAAAGTCTGCCTCTGTTTCCACTGTTTCCCCATCTATTTGCCATGAAATTATTAATACTGTGATAAATGACAGTCACTTACATATTCCTAAAAAGACAAAATATGCTCTAAGAATTTTCAAATAAGTTACTATTATAATTTAAGGAACCAGAAGACAGACTATGAGGATGTTAACTTTTTTCCCCTGTGTTGACAATGCATGAGTAATTGAATAATAATGTTAACAGCTGAGGAGTGAAGTTATGAATTTGCTTCTGTATACTCTTTCTATACTATCCAGATTTTGTACAATGAGTATCTACTTCTTTTATAATCCACAGAAAAAGTAATTAATTTTTGGTTATTTTGGGAAAGGTCATTAAACATTAACCATGTTGCCTGTAGCTGTTATCTGGTATTATAAACATCTCACCTGTTTAGAGGAGAAATATAATATTTCAAAAGCTTTGCATGTAATTACTTGTACTCCTCATGTTAAATTATGATTTGTGTTTTTAATCTAGATCATAAAAGAATATGAGAGAGCCATCATCTTTAGACTGGGTCGCATCTTACAAGGAGGAGCCAAAGGACCTGGTGAGTGCTTGCATTTTGTCTGGAAAGCAAACTTCATCCTTTTACTGATGTGATTTCCTTCATGAAGGTCTCTATTGACTTAGGAGACTTCTCACGGCAGAATTTGTGCAACAATAGCAGTGCAGCTTACCAGAAATTACCCTTCCTTCCCGCCTCTCCCCTCCCCTTCCTATTTGAGTTGATAAGATTATCTTTACGCCAAGAATAGCTGCAGCTATCGAAATTTGAGCGTGAGAATCCCTACTGAAATAGATGCTTCCAGTCATTCTTTTCGGCACACTTCAGTTAAGCTCCCACTGAGTTAGGCTCTGAGAATTCAAGGGACAGGAAAGCAGAGTCTGCCCTCGAGGATCTTTCTGCCTGGTGGTGGGACACAGTGAGGAAACAGCTGAGAGTTAGAATCCCACTTGGTAAATGTTATGTCAAGAAGTCACCGAGGGCTGTGGAAACCCAGAGAAGAGTGTCGACCCCAAGTGGTAGCATGCTTTCTGGAGGTGACTGCTTGGCAGGAAATGGTGAGCCCAGGAGGAGAGGTGTCCCCAGGGTCAGAACAGTGCAGAGCCGTGCAGAGAAGACCACTGCAGGCTCCATGAACTGCAAGCAGCCCCGCGCAGCAGGGTGCAGGGTGGGAGGAGAGGGCTGGTGAGGCGGTGAACAGGGGCAGGTTGTGCAGGGCCTGGTACAGCTTGTTTGTAGGAAACAAACTGGAAGAAACAGCAAGATGACGTAAGAAGCTATTGCATCGGTCTAAGTGAAAACGGGGATCTCCCTGGTGGTCCAGTGGTTAAGACGCCACGCTTCCACTGTAGTGGGCTCAGGTTCAATCCCCGAGGGGAACTAAGATCCCACATGCTGTGTGGGATGATCAAAAAAAAAAAAAAAACATCGTAAGTAAAAGCAAGTGGGTGACAGTAAAAGCGGAGTAAGGAAACGCAACCCACAGGTCTTGTGGGGACGGCTGGACGTGGGAAGAAAGCAGCGGGAGTCAAGGATGACACTCCTGGCTTCCAGCTCATCCACCGAGAGGCACTGCTTTCTCGCGGTTAATGGGGCCTGTCCTGTTAGAACCGAAGGCACAGTGAGCTGGTGAGGGGAGATGCCGGTGTGCCTCTGACCTCGGGTGTGTCTGTTGCAGGTTTGTTTTTTATTCTGCCGTGCACCGACAGCTTCATCAAAGTGGACATGAGGACCATCTCATTTGACATCCCTCCTCAGGAGGTGAGGCTGTCTTCTGCTGTGGGTGACTGAGCTGTCATGGGCCTGGCGTGGAGAGGCAGCAGGGGGCAGTGGTCACAGCACAGCTGGAGAGCCTTGCTGCCCTCAGCGTTTTCTGGCTGTGTGACCTCCAGCAAGTTCTTTAACTTCTCTTTATGCCCCCATTTCCTCATCTGTAAAATAGAATAGCAGGACCTACTCTATAGAGTTCTTGTGAGGACTAAATGAGACGCTCTATGTAAAGTGCCTAGAGCTGAGGCTGATAAATAGTAAGTGCTATGAAAGTGCTTATTATTATTACAAAACATACCGTAATGTATAATGTTACCTTTACCACTGTCGTCAATATTCTCCCTTCCACACTTCTCTCTGGGTTTCTGATAGAACATTCTTCTTACAGTTCTTGACAGTATTCTAGATAAACTGGTTAGAAGCCAAAGAATTAGAAACTGCCCATTTGGTATTTTAGATAAGAATAAGATATTTTATATTAGGAATTATTTCAGTCTTTTTCACAGTGCCTCACCATTGAAGCTCACAGCAGAATCCGAGAAAGTAGATGGTCGGAGTGAGACAGGAATTCCTCCTGACTATGGGGGCAGGGCCAGGACTCAAGCCAGCCCTTCAGAGTCCCTGATCAAGGCTTCCCACCCAGCTCCATGCTATCCCAGCCCCTGACACAGTGATGGCCATCCTGGCCCTTGTGTCTAAGGAAGCATCATGACCGTCACAGGTAGAAAGCCTGAAAACATGAAGGGAAGGACCAAAGAAAACTGCTGGTGTTTGCTGGCCAGAGGCCAGGTCCTCAGCAAAGTGCTGGAGCCTGGTCACAAAATCCAGAAACCAACTCAGAAGCTTCCCTGCTGGCCCTGAGCCAAGTAGTTAGTGAGGTGAGACTTTGTAATCTGCACATACGTGGTGACACCAGAAACCATTTTTACCTGTCAAAGCAAGACTGAGAGCATGTCTGTATTCTCTGTGTGGAAGGCTGACTCTCAGAAAGAGCCCTTTCAGGGTAGCGGGGAGTTCTGGCACTTTCCTCCGTAAACATGGCAGGCATCTGGCAGGATCACGTAAGCTTCTGCCTTCCAGCTGCTCCCTGAACGCAGAGCAGTTTGAAACTTGGCAAGCAGTCCTTTTTCTGATCCCCTGTGAACTTGTTATGAAGGAAGATAAACACTCTGCCTACAACAATCAGTAGATAGAGAGGCTGCAACTTTACAAAGCTCCAGCCGTGGCGGTTTCTGTAGCAGAAATTCCTTTAGAAATGACCTACATTTTCCATCACATCATGGGAAAAAATTAACTTTCACACAAGATGGTAATATATTGTGTATCTATTTACAAACACCTCACTTCTCCAAATTTGAAGTATTTTTAGGTTACTGAAAAAAAAGAATTAACTCTCTTGATGCCTGACAGAATAGCTTTTTATTGTCATTTTTATGACTTTTCCATGTACATAGCTCTTTAACACTCTCAAAATGGCTTCACTTGCAAACATCTTATTTGACCTTCAAAGAAATTTGTGTAGAATTGGGCAGTATTAGTAGCCCCATCTTACAGATGAGGAATCGCTAAGTCAAACAGTCTAACCCTTGCTGGAGGTTCCCGAAGGAGGAACCAGCAGAGCTGGAGCTGTGGTTGAGGTCTCCTGACCCTTCCCACACTACTCCTCCCTCCCTGTCCCTGGGACCATGTTTCAGTCTAGTCCATCTCTCGTTTTATTGACTACCTGCTGTGTACCAAGCACTCTGCCCGTGCTAGAGATAGAAGGACAGACTGCCTTCAGGAAGTTCGTGGTTGAACAGGGAGGTAGTGGTGTCCACAGAGCACGTCACTGCGGGGAACGGGTGAGGGGATGAGGGGGGCAGGTGAGTTTCCTAGAGAAGAGGACACTTGAGCTGTGTCTTCGATGCCATTCCCGTCTGACACTGTGGGGAGGAGAGATGCGGGGACATCCTAGCAGAGGAACACCTGCAGGAAGCCTGGGACATGGAGCGTGGTGTGTGTGGGAGCCCCGCGTCCAGCGGAGGACGTGTGCAGGGGTGGGGAGGAAGGAGGCTGGAGGGCAGGTGCCAGAGGGCTTTGCACCAGGCCGGGGACTCTGCCGCTGAACGTGACAGGAAGCAGTGACAGCCTGGGTCTGTGTCCTGTAACCGTTTTAGGAAGCACCCTGTAAACACACTTTCACCCTGACTTCGCCCTGTGGAGAGAGCTCAGTTCTTCTTTTGTCCCAGTGACACTGTGCTACTTAAAGTTCATCAAACAGGGCCTCCCTGGCACCTCTGCCGCTTTTCACACATTATTATCTGCCTTGAATACTCTTATTCCATCCTCAGGAAATTTTTATTTCCTTTTTCAAGACTGTTTGTGTCTCACCCCTGCCACCTACAACTGTCCCATCTTTGTCCCTTAGAGCGTCCCTTGATTCCCTGACCTCCTTGAAAGTAGGAACTAGTGTTTTTCATACCTTTATCCCCAAAACCTAGCACAGTGCCTGCTACTGATTGTGACTAAGTCTCAGTATTTGTTGAATGATCAAATTAATGAATGGGATCAATAGTAAATGAATGTACTTTATTAAAATTTTTAAGACACAGTGAACAGTCTGATACTTTGCAGTCTTAGTCCCTTGGGGCCGCTGTAATAAATTAGGTGGCTTATAAACCAGATATGTATTGTTCACAGTTCTGAAGTAGTGCTGGTGAAGACACCAGCAAATTTGGTGTCTGATGAGGGCCTACCTCCTCATTCCTAGATCACTGTTTGCTCGTTATGTCCTCACGTAGTAGAAGGGGGAGGGGTCTCTCTGGGTTCTCTTCTGTAAGGGTGCCAATCCCACCCACCCTCATGGCCTCCCAAAGGGCCTACCTCCAAACACCAACACACTGGGGATGGAGATGCAAACATTCAGTCCATAGCACTTACTAAACAGATCAGCTCTTATTTTGAGACGTTCAGTGGAATACCAGTCCTACGGTTCTATTAAAGAGGAGACTGACGGGTGTCCCGCTGCCTCCCTGTGCCGCAGATCCTCACGAAGGACTCCGTTACCATCAGTGTGGACGGCGTGGTCTATTACCGCGTGCAGAACGCCACCCTGGCTGTGGCGAACATCACCAACGCTGACTCGGCAACCCGTCTTTTGGCACAGACGACCCTGAGGAACGTCCTGGGCACCAAGAACCTTTCCCAGATCCTCTCTGACAGGGAAGAAATCGCACACAACATGCAGGTGAGGCCGCTGGTGCGGCTCAGCTGCAGGCTTGGGGCGTGAGGCATCGGGTCCACGGGCACTAGAGGACTGTTCATTAAGTCAGCTCGGAGAATCACTGGCCTTTGTTGCTTCGTAGAAAACTCTCCCCAAACTTGATGGAAGGGGATTTTTTTTCACATAAGTAGGTTATAGGTTAATAACACTCCAATGCATGCATTGGTTTTTAATTCCCTCCAGTGTATATTTTTTTCCCCCAAAACTAGTGTTAGCCTTTTTCTTTTAACATAATAGTTCAGAGGCTATTCTGCAAGACAGGGCAGGTGTAGTTAGAGCCATATTCTGTGCGAGTCCTATGATTTCGTTTGTAACTCTTACCCTTTCCAATCTTGCCTTCGTAACAGATGAATCAAATCTGACTTGGTCAAAAAAGGTCAAGAACTATACATCTGAGCTGTTACTATTTGTGTAGATTTCTTTGGTCTTATGTGATACCCCCAGCAACCATATGAAATAGAGTAGTGTGATTTCACTCCTGCCATTGTGAAGGGAGGAGGCTGAAGCACAAAGTACCATGGCTCACACAGATGCACATTAGCTCAGGAGCTCTCTGGCCACCTGTTTCAATAAGTGAAGTTTTATTAGAATGCAGCCACACCCATTGACTGGTATATTATTCTCCATGGCCACTTTTAATCTGCAAGGGAGAGTTAGTTGCAACAGAGACTGAAAATCAGTAATCACTGTCTAAGCCTTTTAGGGCTTCCCAGGTGGCACTAGTGGTAAGGAACCCGCCTGCCAATGCGGGAGACATAAGAACGCAGGTTCAATTCTTGGGTCAGGAAGATCCCCTGAAGAGGACATGACAACCCACTCCAGTATTCTTGCTTGGAGAACCCTAGGGACAGAGGAGCCTGGTGGACTACGGTCCATTGGGTCGCAAAGATTTGGACACAGCTGAAGGAATTTAGCTCTTTTAGAAAACGTTTGCCACCCCACATTAGCTTATTAGTAGCAGAATCAAGAGCAGCTTCCCAGCAGTCCTGCCTCCCTCAATGGGTAGCTCTCTCTCTGCAGCCCTCCACCAGCACCTCACCCACCCCAGATCCCAACGAACACAGCTGCTTAGGCTCCTGTGCGAGGGTGAACGTTTCCAGCCAGCCTTCTCTCTTCCTAACAGAGCACCCTGGATGACGCCACTGACGACTGGGGAATAAAAGTGGAGCGAGTGGAGATTAAGGACGTGAAGCTCCCCGTGCAGCTGCAGAGAGCCATGGCTGCGGAGGCAGAGGCGTCCCGGGAGGCCCGAGCCAAGGTGGCGTTGCTGTTTTTCTGTGGTTTGTTTGTCCTGTTGAGTCTTCTTTTTAAATATACAATGTAAAACATGCTGGTTATAAAAATCAAAATAGTCCCAAAGTAGTAAAGATGAAAGCTCGCCTCATCACTTTACATCATATCCCCCTCCCACCAGAGGCCACCACTCTTAACAGCTTAGTGTATATGTTAATACCTCCAGAGTTTCATTTGGGGTTTAGCTGACTAGGCTGTTAGTCTACTGGCTTGTTTATTTTACAGAAGTAGAGTTACAGTACAAACTGCTCTTCACCTCGCTTTTATACAAACCACATATCCTGGGAATACCAGTACATAGATCGCTGCCTCCTTCTGTTAGAACTGCTTATCCTCTGCGTTATTCTCCCAGTCCTCTGTTCAGGACACACTAACAGTCTGACTTCAGAGTGAACAGCCTGTCTGATCAGTTTGCGTACATTCATTCCTTCCTTATTTTTGTCTTCTCTTTCATTCTTTTCCCAAGTTCTTCCTTCTTACAGTTTCCATCTTCCTTTCTCTGCTCTTTTTTTTCCACTTCTTTTTCCTTGATTTCTGCTCCCCCCCACCTTTTTTTTTTATCATCATCCCCGACTGTGTCTTAACCCTGCATGGGTGTGTGACATCCATGGGCGGTGCTGAGGGAATGTTTGTGAATCTGGAAAAGAAGATACATTCAAATGAGTTCATAGGGACGTCTTACCAAACCCAAGAGTAGGAAGTAAAGTCAAGCCTCACCAGAATCAAAGCTGGAGACCAGAAGGCAGCCTCAGGGGAGGCAGGCATTCCACATCCTGGGCCACGTCTCACTGCAGACAGCTGGAGGGGGAGAAGGTCTGATTCTCAAGTGCACGTGTCTCCCAGCTGAATGCTGTGGGAAACAGACCAGCCCCCATTCCAAATTCACACCAGAGTGATTCTCTCTGATCCAGCTTCAATCAAAGATCCTAAAAAGGTCCCACAACCCCTCACCTGTGAATGGATGGAGAAAGGAGGGTAGCCTTCATGGGAGCAGTTGCCATGGACGTGACAGATCTCCCAAGATACCAGCAGTGAACCAATTTGTTGTTATTAGAAAACAGTAGCAGCTGGTGATAATTGACTCACCACAGAACCCTGCCCTTCTGTTAGGATGCCTTGTAAGCCACAGATGCTGCTGCCGCTGCTGCTGCTAAGTCGCTTCAGTCATGTCTGACTCTGTGTGACCCCATAGACGGCAGCCCANCAGGCTCCCCCGTCCCTGGGATTCTCCAGGCAAGAACACTGGAGTGGGTTGCCATTTCCTTCTCCAATGCATGAAAGTGAAAAGTGAAAGTGAAGTCGCTCAGTCGTGTCCGACTCTTAGCGACCCCATGGACTGCAGCCTACCAGGCTCCTCTGTCCATGGAATTTTCCAGGCAAGAGTACTGGAGTGGGTTGCCATTGCTTTCTCCGAAGCCACAGATGGATCACTCTTAATTTTTTAGCCAGCACCAAATAGATTCATTTGACACACCGCCTCCAGAATGTTTTACTAACCAGAACTTGTAGCTTTTCCTAATGTGTTAATTGGGCTTCTCAGGTGGCTCAGTGGTAAAGAATCCACCTGACAAGCAGGAGAGTCATGTTCAATCCCTGGGTCAGGAAGATCTTCTAGAGAAGGAAATGGCAACCCACTCCAGTATTCTTGCCTGGAAAAGCCCATGGACAGAGGAGCCTGGTAGGCTGCAGTCCGTGGGGTCACAGGGTTGGACACAACTGAGCAACTAAACAACAACGTGTTAATTGATGCTTCTGATACTGCAGAACCCTCAAGTATTTTTTCTACAAACCATGATATTTTATTTAGAAGATTAAATTGTATCAATGAGAATGATATTCAATATGCCTCATTATAATCTAGTTATTTTGAAAATCAGGGATCCCTTTTACGTCTGTCATTAACCAAAAGCCCCGTTTCCAAACCATGTTGAATAATAGAATTTATCATACATAGACTACACAGAACATTGGCGCCCCAAGGGTCCTCAGGGGTTTCTTCTGAAAGTGACAAATCCCTGCCCAGGTGCTGCCTGTCCCACTCCAGCTCCCATGCCATCACTGACCACAGCGCGGCTTCGCTCTGAGCTCCGACCTCAGAATGCTGCTGAAGCGCTCCAGGTGTGCGTGCGGGCTTTCTCTTGCTTCGGTCATGTCTGGCTCTCTGCCCTGCTATGGGCTGTGGCCTGCCAGGCTCCTCTCCTCTGTCCATGGGAGTTTTCAGGCAAGAACACTAGAGTGGGCTGCCATCTCCTCCTGCAGGGGATTTTCCCAACCCAGGGATCGAACCCACGTCTCTTGTGTCTCCTGCGTTGGCAGGCAGGTTCTTTACCACTAGTGCCACCTGGGCAGCCCTGATGTACTCTAGGTAACAACCTGCAGCTGCTTGAAATTGGCCCTGAAAATGAAACTTATTTGCCATCCCACTATTCAGATGAAAATATCAAATCCCAAAAAAGTGATGTGATCTGCTCAGAATCACACAGTTGATTAGTGACCATGGAAATCTGAATTGCTTGTGCTCCTCACTGCCTTCTTTCCAGGAAGGACTGAGCCTCCTCTGCAAACATGCTCACCAGTTACGAAAGAGAGCGCCTGACTTCCCTTTACAAGGAAAAATAAAGGAAGTCAAATAGAATTCTGCATTACTGGGCTCTCACTGGATCTGGCTGTCCTTAAGGGTGGGGTTAACATGCAGAATCTCAAGGAGTCTGATTCTTCCATAGAGTTCAGTTACCGTGCAACAACCACGAGGCCCAGTATTCAAGTTCTCAGGGAAATAGGGGTCACTGTTTCTTAAATAAATTGCAAAGGAAAAGATGGTGAGAGTCTATAGACTAAGAGACTTCAGAGAAAAATTCAAGTTAATTAGCCAGAAATGCAAACTCATGTCACAAGCAGATGCCACACTAAACATTCACTGTAACAGCTTTAAACAGGGAAGAAAGAAAAAGATCCCAGTGTGGGTGAGGGGGAGTCTCGGTGGTGAGAACACACGTTGGTACGACAGCTCTGGACTGTCTGGCCGCATAGATCTGAGCAGAATGACTTGCTTGTTTACCAGAAGACGTGTACTGGAGTGTTCCCAGCAGCGCTTTGTAGTTACCGCTGATGAGAATTATCCACACATCCGCTGCTAGCTGGGTGGATAATGGTTGGTTGAGAGGAAGGCATCCTACGCAGCAAAGAGAAGGAGCACATTAAGTGCTCACAAGCGTCATTTGAGAGAAAAGTTACAAAAGAGGACAGATTCTCCTGAACATGTTATGTTAGCGGGACCTCTTTTTAAGGTTTTCAGACCGTGACTGGAAATGTACTATCTTCTGTGCCTGCCGAGTCTCCCTGTTCTCCTTTGTCAGGATTCTCAGAAAGGTGCCTGGCATGGACTCTCGGGCTCTCATCTCCGGGCCTAGTCGTGTGATCACCGAGCGGGTGTAGTACAGGATACAGGCCACCTTTCTCGGCCCTTCCCTCAGAGCAGCCCCCTGGGCCACAGGAGGAGACGGCAGGACCCTTCCCACAGGCCTGACGACGCCAGCTTTTGACACGACACTCCGTAAATAGGAAGTGTCGGTTGACCAGGACTCCGGCGCTTCCAGCAGAAACTGCGCATGCCTACGGGTTGCCTTTGCTGCTTTCTGAGACCCTGCCCACAGCGCCCACTCGGCTTGTATTAGACACAGCTAGGGTATTGTGTTCACATCTTTGGCAGCTCGCTCAGACTAGCTTTTCTAGTAACAAAATGTGTGCCCAGCCAGGTGGGTCTGGCTTCCCAGCCAAGAGATGGTGTGTTGATTGGTAGTGGGAGCCGAGCTATCTTTGCAGTTGATCTGTGTCCAGACAGCAAAAAAAAAAAAGCGCCTCACTGGACATCTGAGATGACAGGGGAAGAGTCAGCCCGCTGTGCCCGCGGCAGGGTCCGCTTGTGCGTTCCGTCCGGGGCTTGCCTGGGGGACAGTTCCCAGAGCCCCTCTCAGTGTGGCTGGCACCAGTCCCTTCTCGCACACCTAGGGGGACGTAATGCTTTCCCTGGATAAATCCAGGGTTTTGTCCTCTAACCTGGTCCCTTCTTCCATAAGGCTCCTCTGTCTCCCCTAACACACAGCCCAGAACCTGGACACAGTCTGTCCCCCTCGCGGCCCGCCCAGTCCACCCCACACTGTTGAGTCTCTCAACAGCCCATTTCCTCCTCCATCCCCACTGCTGGTGACTGACACCGCTCTGAAAGCTGCCCTTCTCTTCTCTTCTCTTATTGATGCTCTAACATCTGTTGGAGTGCGTTCTCAAACTCGCTCTGAGGCTTCCCATCACCTTCAGGATAAAGACAAACACCTGGGTCCCTGCTGCCCTTCCCGCCCTCCCCCCTTCATCCCCACCTTCCCCCTCCCCCAGTCACTCTTCACTTCCCCCTCTGCCCTGTCCACCCCCCATCTTCCCCTCTTCCTCACAGTGCTCACCCACTTACAGGTTCCTGGAACACACCAGCTTTGTTATACCACAGTACCTTTTCATGTGTTCTCCCTAAAATATTCTTTCTCACCTTAGTCCAAACAGCAAGGCCTCCATCCTCTGTTGTTCTGCTTCACAGGGGGCGTAACCCCACCACTTCACCTTTGGCAGAAACTGCTTTCCTCTTGCTGCCAGCCCTGGGCCTTGGGCCTGCCTCAGTTAGCGTCTGTCACATTGGATGAGATGGCCTGCTTCCAGGTCTGTCTCGCCTGCTTGGCCAGGAGCTGAAGGAGGCCAGGGCGCCCCTCCTCTATCCTAGGCCCTTCACAGGTCTTGACACCCGGGAGGCCCCCCGAGTTTACTGTATAACTGAATGAAATTATACTGGTCATAAGACCATTGCTTTCAATTCTCATATTCACAGAAGTATTAAAAACCGTCATAGTACTCCCAGCTGTAGATTTACCAGTTTAATAGTTTGTTAGGATCTGTGCAGTAGTGTTTGCAGTCTTATTTTCTCTAAGAAATCCCCTGTGGGTGTCATAATTGTTATATACTGAATAAATTGCATAACATTGTAATAAAAATGTAGCATGAGAAGAAAAAAAAGAACCATTAATATTTTCAGATTCCTGTGAGAACAACCTAACTACACTTTTAAGAGGGTTATGGTATCTTTACACCTCTCCTCCTAGGATTAGGACTTAGGAATAGCTGCCTTGATTTGGCTTCTGAATCTTTTAAGAATTAGGGCATAGGTGGATCCAAAAATTAGGTCTTGTCACTTGCCCTTGCTATATAATTAGCCTCTGTTTATACATTTCAACACAAAATAGACCTCTGTCTTCTTCACAATGGTCCCATGAGGTCAGTGCTATCCCATTTTAAGAATAAGAAACTGAGGCTCAGAATGTTAAATAAACTTTCTGAGGACATTCAGCTAGGAAGTGTTAGGTTTGCAATTTTAGCTCAAGACCACCTAAACTCTAAACCCCTGCCCTCCCCACCTCTCCAGAAGCCTTCAAACTTTGCTCACATAATCCCTCAAAGAATTCAGAAAATCTGTGTGTCCTATTTCACATTTTAAATAGACATGTACATTTTTTCATTTTGAATGTGGATACTTGCCAAACATAAGTCCTGGCATGTTTTAAATATTGACATTTTAAGGTAAAACTGTTAACATCATTCTTTTAAATGCTTTCTGTGAAATTTAGGTAACATAATGATTCCATTCTCTATTTTATAGAATGATGAGAAAATAAACTCTTTTAATAGTTAGGAATTTTCATTTTTCCTTTTTCTCCTTGAATTTATATTTTCATTTCCCATCCCCTACAGAGTCTTTTCCTAATATATTTTGTTATGAATTATTTTATCACCCTTCTGAAACACATCTACTATAAAAGTTAAAATACTTCTCAGGTTTTTCGGACTACAACCAAGGGTCTCAATGAGATGAATGAGGAGTGAATTCTTGTCTTGTTGATGGCTGTTACTTATTGCTAGAATAAGGCAAGATTCAGCATCAGTTCTCTTATTTTTCATTTTTACAGGTATGAGGAGTAAGAAACCTTATTTATGTAAATAAGTACATGGAAATGGAAAGGTTTTTTTTTTTAAGTACCTTTATACAATTCTTAGCACTCTCTCTGAATTTATGTGCTGAAAAATCCTATGACTTTTTTGATCTTTCATCAAAAAACATTTTTAATTATCTATGAGCTTGCAGTACAATAAGGTCCTCTTCCCTTTCTTTGAAATCAAAGAATTGGAAATCCATCTGACTTGCAAAAGGCTTTGTATCCAGTCATTGGGTCATTCACTTTCTCAACTCCTACACAGTATTCTGAATTTTCCCTTTGTTTGATGGCCTAGAAATGACAGAAAGACAATAAATAGTAAAAGAGGACGTCTTCTTTTTTTAAATTCTTACTGGAGTGTAGTTGCTCTATAATGTTAGTTTCTGCTGTACAGCACGGTGAATCAGTGATGTGTGTGCACGTATCCCCGCTGCTGTTTTTTGGATTTTCTCCGCATAGAGGTCACCGCAGAGCCTGGAGTCGAGTCCCTGTGCCACACTCAGCCCCCGTTAGGTACCCATTATATCCATAGCACTGTGTCCACATCAGTCCGCACCCCCAACCCCCAGTCCATCCCCCTCCTCTAAAGAGGACGTCTTGACCTCGGGCACACACCCAGGCAAATCAGTTACAGGGGAAAGACCACATAGAAACTGAGTGTCTGGAAACTGTTCTCCTTGGAACGGTTGTGGCCGACTCCCTGGGAAACTTCGTGTGCTGCCTGAGCTAGCTGGGCCCGAGTTTGAAGGCTGCAGCTCGACACCCAGCATTTGCTCTGGTTTAATCTCTCCTTGCCACTGCTCCGTAGGTCATTGCGGCTGAGGGAGAAATGAACGCGTCCAGGGCTCTGAAAGAGGCCTCCATGGTCATCACCGAGTCACCTGCTGCCCTCCAGCTGCGGTACCTTCAGACGCTGACCACCATCGCTGCCGAGAAAAACTCGACCATCATCTTCCCTCTGCCCATAGATATGCTGCAGGCTGTCATGGGGACAAAACAGTGAGCCACGGGAGCCGATCAGAGATGAGATGGGGACCAAACCAGCCTCTCACCCAGTAGGTAGTAGGGTGGGAACCTTGACATTCCCCCTCCCTTCCTTTTTCCATAGCTTGAGTGCGATATTCTTACAGTATGTAGTGATCCTAGCAACAGATGAAGGTTCTTGTAAATACGACACGAGAGAGAGAGAGTGGTGATTAATGTAAGATAACCTTGCCCTAAAACATTTAAAAGTTCATATGTTTAGATTGTTCCATGATAGGTGAAGTCCATCTTCTTTCAAATTTCATTGAGTCTTCTGCACCCTCTATCAGCAGCCAGGCCAGAAGCAAGAAGATAGAGTGTCTTCCCAACCTGACACCCTGGCTAGACAAATGTTTGCAGAGAATAGTGACCTTGGGCTACACCCAGCTTCTCTGGGCCACGTGTGCCTTACTTCCGGGGAATCTTAATTAAGGAAATTTTCCTAACATCCGTCTACTTTCTAAAATCAAAGCAGGTTGCAGAATAATCCTTCCTTGAGAGGAGACGTTTTCTTGCCAGTGCCTGTCAGCACTGGAGATAAAGGTCAAGGTCACGGGAGATGGTCACCCTGATTCTTGAGAGACTTAACCCACTGCTGTAGAGGTCCTTTTAAAACAATGCGGGCTTTTTTTTTAAACTTTGTTGAGCCCCTTTATGAGTAAATGATTCCTCTGTCTTTCAAACCAGCTAAATACTTGTCACAGAAGTGCTTTTTTTCTCACTTTTGCCTATTCTCATATATCAGATTCTAAACATTTGAATTTTTAAAATAAGATTTTCTCTAAGTCCTATAAATAGTTGTTTATATACCAATTTGAATAGCTTAAGGACTAGTACTTGATGAATGCATCTTTAGGAAACTTGCATTTTACTGTCTGCGTGTTGTCAACCCTGGACGCTGTGAGCTATCTTGGTTGCCACTCATTGCATAACAGAAGGAATCATAGTCTGTCAGGGACACTGTATCCAAGGAGCTTTGGAAAAACACAGTCACACTGGGCATATCTGTGCAGATGTGGGTCTTCTTTATGTGCCTGGTCGTTTTTCTGTCTTATATGTTGATGCTGAAGGAGGAACTGGTCAGCCCTCCTGAACTGCTATAATTTTAGGAAGCATCTTCCATTTCACAAATGCCTGTGAGGCCAAGCACCCTGGTACTCTTCCTATTGGTCTGGAAATCCGGCTGGTGACATTTGTACCACTTCCGCTCAGGAGCTGTGAGATCACCTTTAAAAATCTAAGAATAGCAGTTTCCGTACCCAGAGTCACCCTGTGTATCTGTCCTTAGCTGGGTCACTCCGTCAGTCTTGATGAGTCCCCTCCCCAACAGCCTATTTCCAAATTCATTTTACGAAGCCTTGAACCACCGTGGATCCAGGTCCTGGCTGAGTTCATTAGATGTATATGGAGCATTTTGACTTGGAACTCAAGCTGCATTTCTATTTTCAATTTTAAAATAATGATTTTCTCTCTTTTGTGAGGTGGCTCACCCTTGACTACTAAGGACCAGGATACAACCACATATCCTGGCTAAAAGTCTCTTCTCAGACTTAGAGGTTCAATGCTTTCTGTTCTTTGAGTCTGTTTCCAGACACCAGTCTTCGCTCTTCTGCCTTGTGGGTCGTGGGTTGAAATTAAATCGCCTGGGAGGGAGGACACGTAGAAGGAGCTGTAGGATGACAGCGGACAGTGTTCGTGTGAGAGTTTTTTCCAGGTGGCCTCCCTCTGTGATGCTGTATGTAATAAAGTGTGCGCTTTTACTGGTTTTCTTGGGATGAGAAGCTGTTTCTTTCTGCATGTGGTGTGTGTGGATTTCGTTCTTCAGAAGTGGCACATGCGTTTCTCCAGGCCTGGACTGGCTGCTTTGGCTGCTGTGTGCTCTTCCTGGGCCAGAGGAAGAGGGGAGGCCGTGGCCCATCTGCCGTCTGTCATGTCTTACTCCCTCTGGTGCCCACGCAGTTCCCTGAGGAGTTTGAGATCCGCAAATCCTTGGCTGGTCTGATTTCCCAAACAGGACAGGACCTCACTTCTTCCTGTCACCCAGCTAACCCACTGGCATAAACCCTGCTTAAAAAGAGGAATAAATGATACATAAAACCAGTGGGGGGCGTTGTAAAAATCTATACCAAAGAGTTAAGGATGGATGTTTTAGGAAGACACCACATAGAAGCTTTCACTCTTTCTATATTTTAATTTTTTACGATAATCACAAATCTATCAGGAAAAGCAAATAGGGTATTTCCGTTTGGAAAACTTTAAAGAGAAAAAACAACCCCTACCCCCAGAAAAGCCATGGGTGTTACCTGTGACCTTCAACCTTTAAAGAACTGGCCTGAGGGGCTTCCCTGGTGGTCCAGTGGTGAAGAATCTGCCTTCCGTCGCAGGGGATGAGTGTTCAGTCCCTAGTCCCACGTGCCGAAGGGCCCCTAAGCCCGCGGGCCACCACCACCGAGCAGCACCCCCACCCCCGGCCACAGCTGGAGAAAGCCCCGGTGCTGCAGCGAGCGCCCAGCCCGTCGCCACACACGCATGCACAGCCGCGCGCGGCCGACTGAGGCCCGCGGAGGGGCTGGCCAAGCCCCTCTGCCCGCCGGAACAACAAAGGCACATACAGCCGTGCCTGACTCTGGCCCTGTGGAGGGGCCGGCCAAGCCCTCTGTCTGCCGAAATAACAAAAGGCACGTGCAGCCGCGCCCGACTCTGCGGCCCGCGGAGGGGCTGGCCAAGCCCCTCTCACCGCCGGAACAACAAAGGCACACACAGCCGTGCCTGACTCTGGCCCCGTGGAGGGGCCGGCCAAGCCCCTCTGTCCGCCGAAATAACAAAATGCATGCACAGCCGCGTCTGACTCTGCGGCCCCGTGGACTCGGGCCTGCCAAGCTCCTCTGTCCGTGAAATTTTCCAGGCAAGAATACTGGCGTGGGTTTCCATTCCCTGTTGCAGGGGATCTTCCCAACGCAGGGAGTGAACTTGCACTCAGTGCGCCTCCTGCACCAAAGGCGTCTTCTTTACCGCCCGTGCCCCTGAGAAACGCGGAGGAAAGGAAAAACGGCCTTGGATCAGTGGCGCCACCTGTGGCGCACCAGGTATCTGGCGCTGTGCTCAGACACTTGCGCATTTTATCTTCAAAACAGCTCGATGAGGTACATTTTTATCCCCGTTTTACAGATGAGGACCCTGGAGTTCAAGGTGACTTCCCCGATGTCACATGGTTACTAAGCAGCCGCTTGAGATTCAAACACGGATCTGTCTACTGTCGGAGACGCCTCGGTGTCTACCGTATCCTCACGTGACGGTGCCTGCCTCCGCCACTCCCGTGTACCCACCGCCACCAACAGTCGTTTTATATGTAGATCACAACTTTTCAGCACTGCAGGATTCAAACTTGACTAGTGAAATTTTGCATTCATAGCCAAGCAGGCCTTAAACTCTAGTTTGGGGCTGTCAGATCTACGCCGAAGTTCAGTCCAAGTGAAAGAAGCAGATGGGGTACTTGTAGCCGCGACATGGTACAGCGCACGCACCTGAGCGGGAGGAAACCGGGGTTGCACAGTCTCTGAGGTTGCATGGCCTTTTAAAATATCTCTGTAATCCTCATACTGGGCTTCTTCACAAAGGCACTCTGCTAGGAAACAGTGAACCACCCATTTCCAAACTTCTTTTTAGCAGCAACCTTCCCCCCTGTTTTTTCAAAGGAAACTCCAGTGTAAAAGAATAAATTCTCAAGTTCACATTTATAACATTTACTTAATGTCAATCAACGAGGCTGCATTGAAAAAAAATGGACTTACGAAAGGCAATTATATCCTTAAATGAGGCTCTTACCTTCAATTTCTCCATTTTGTTTCAAGTGTCTGTGATATTTGTTACCACTTTAAAAACTAAATTTCAATCAAATTGTAAAATCACTGAAGCTCCTCAGTAGAATTCTATTGATCCCAGTTTTAAAATCACTGAATTTGACTTGAACCCAGGTCTGACTTCAAAGTCCAGCTTTCATTGTAACAACTCTGGTTAGGTACTCTACAAAGACAGTATTACCATTTTGTACCTGGGAAAACTGAAGCTCACATAAATTTTCTATCCTATCCCTAGTACCTTGCACACTGCCTGGCATAAATATGTTATCTATTCAACTGAATTGTCCAAGATAGGATGCAGGTTCTAAGCCCAGGCCACCCTCTTTCCAGGAGATGCCCCCTTGGCACATGGGCATTTCATGGCATTTTGCAATGACTTCTCCATTGTACATGATGGAATCCACCATCTCAAAAACCATGGAAGAGAAAAATATGTGGTTGAAGTGATAGTGTTCCTGACTCATTTTGCCTTTGAGAGAAAAAATACGGAGCTGAAGCAATTCAGTTGCCTCAGGCAACTTCCCTTCTCGGAGCACTCAGGTCTCTCTGAAGCCACAGACACCAATAAACGGAAATTGGCCAGTAAACCTCCTTGAATGCCAGTAAATGGCAATGAAAACTGCAGGGCAGGTTCACCTGTGTTGGACCTCCCACGGGTTGCCAGGACTGGGAGCTGTCTAGACAGGCCTCTGCCTCTAAGGCAGCCCTACAAGCCCCAGGTGGTAAAGGCCCCTTTGTTCCAGAATTTCGCATTTGTCATGTTGATAGCTTTGACCCTGAAATTGGCCTTCTGCAATAAAGGCAGGCATTACAAGGTCAAGTCCAACCCCCTCACTGGGACTGAGGCCCTCGTGAATTCCTGGCTCTCCGTCTTCTGCCCTAGCCTCTCCGCTCCCCCCGCCCCGCACCCCTCGCCCACAATTCCTGCTGTTTGTCCCTGAGCTCAGCAGCATCCCTCCGGCTGTGTCTCTGGGCTGCTGCGCACCCTGCCTCAGACCGTGAAGAATCTGCCCACAATGTGGGTTCCATCCCTGGGTTGGAAAGATCCCCTGGAGGAGGAAATGGCAACCCACCCCAGTATTCTTCCCTGGAGAATCCCCATGGACAGAGGAGCCTGGCGGGCTACAGTCCACGGGTTGCAAAGAGTCGGACATGACTGAGCGACCAAGCACCCCACACAACATGACTGCCTGACATGACATGACCCACCTCCCACCCCGCCTCTCTTTCCACCTGGAAAATTCCTTCCCCACTACATTCGTCACTTCTGTGATGAATCAGACTCTCTGGAGGTAGGGCTCCCTCCAGGGAATTCTACACTTTTAAAAAGCTCCCTGGCCAATTTGGCGGATCAGCCAGCCAGCTTTGGAAACAATGGTGTAAACACACACACCGACACCCACAGACACACACATGCCCTTCCCACCACAGACACCCTCACACCGCCTTCTGTTCTTCCACATCCTCTGCAGGGGGGTGTTCATTCTGTAACTTGATAGGGATGGGGGCGAGGGAGGTGTTGGGGAACAAAAGAGAGGAAGGCACCAGAGAAAAGACCGGAAGCAGGGAGGGGAGCAGCTCTTTGGACTGATCTGGGATCTCCATGCAGAAAAGGTTTAGAGACACAAGTTCATGGAAATTAGTAGGGACTCTTGGGGGAGGGTGTAATCTCATCACAACAAAAATTTGAAGTGACGGACGCTGAAGCCCTCAGCGCGTCACAGCTCTTGGACGGTGTTACAGCGCCCTGTCACAGCTCAGCCTTACTGAGAAAATAAAGGAAAAGACATCCTTGTGGCCTGAGGGCGTGCCGACCCAAAAGATGCGAAGAGAAGAGAGAGTGAGAGAGGGAGAGTGCGTGCACGCCCCGGCCCTTTGGCTCTACTTTTTCCACGTTTTCCCTCCCCCTGGGCCTGCCCCGCGTCAACCGGGCTAGGCAGGAGTGCTGTCTGTTCTCCCTGACGTCCTCACTCCCGGCCTGGACCTTCCTTTGTGCTATTTTCAAGGGCTTCCCCTTCCTCGTCTTCTGGCCACCGCCCTTCTGGACTCCTGTTTCCTACTCTCACCGCCTAACAGGACGTTGTGACAAGCTGGGCAGGAGCAGAGAGTCAGGGTCTGGGGGACCAAAAGGGGCACGAACGCCCTCACCCACGCTGCGAACTTCAAGAGCATCCGCGGTACCTCCTGTCAGCAGAAACTCTCATGGCAAGCAGGGGAAACGAGGAAGAGTCAGGCAGATGCTCCAGGGCCGGGCATCCTGCCCGCTTCCTACCCCCGGGAATGTAAGTGACTCTAGGATCCCGCTACTGGCCTTGAACTCTTTGCCCCCAATGCTCCAAGGCCGTGCCTCCCAACGACTGACCAAAGTGGGGGATTAGACACACTTCATCCGCTCCTGGGAGACTTTCAACGCCTCTGTTGGCTGATGGGCTCCAGAACATTCTGAATCAAAATACTTGTACACCAGTGTTCAGAGTAGCACTTTTTAAAAAAAAAATATCTATTTATTTGACTGCATCAACCCTCAGTTGTGGCACACAGGATCTTAGTTGACCTGCGGCATCCCTGACCAGGGATTGAACCTGCGTCCCCTGCATTGAAGATGAATTCTTAACCACTGGACTACCAGGGAAGACCCCCAGTAGCATTATCCACAGCAGCCAAAAGGTAGAAAGGATCTGAGTGTCCATCGATGGATGAAAGGATAAACGAGAACAGCATTGAAACATGTATATTATCTAGGGTGAAGCAGATCACCAGCCCAGGTTGGGTACATGAGACAAGTGCTCGGGCCTGGTGCACTGGGAAGACCCAGAGGCATCGGGTGGAGAGGGAGGTGGGAGGGGGGACTGGGATGGGGAATACATGTAAATCCATGGCTAATTCATTTCAATGTATGACAAAAAC